AGAACATAATAAATTATGTTGTAATTATGATTTGGTAAGGCTTCTGCAATATTGAAAACTCCGTACTGTTTATATTATGAAAAATATTATTATGATAAATAAAAGTGTTTGAAATGTTTTAAATTTTTACGATTACCAAGTTAATACTTTACTCCGAAAGGGGCTGCAGACATGGACGGATTAGGGTGTTACAATCCCTGCGTTCAACTGTAACACCCTCCGTCCCGCGAACCCGGTTCACCACGATCAAACGTGCCGGAGAGGTTACGTAGACGGTTTAAGGCCGTCTACAAGGAAAAAGCCCTTGCGTTGCTTGTAACGGAAACCCTTGGCCTGCTTTATTAAATGATGAGGATGGATTCACTTAAGAGATGTTTATAGCGGAAGTAAATGTAAATAAAACTGTTAGGTCATAAATAACGTAAATGCGACAAAAGGTGGGTTCATGCCCAAAACGTTTTCATAAATTAAATATGTAATTCATCTGGCCCGCACTGTCGTTCATCTGCAGCTCCTATCACCCAGTCATCCGGGTCAGGCTCCATGATCCTCTAGCCCACCTGCGTATAGCAAAGGAAAACAACGCTATACGCTCAGCAAAACCTGAGTGGTAATCTAACAGTAGAACGCATAGTACATTCACATTGTTTTAAACATAATCGTACCTGCACTAAAGTACGAGATACCACGTACGAGCTTAACGAATAAGAGTTACAAATAACAATGGTGTCATGCCAAATAAACGTGATGCATGAGTTAGACTGCGCAGGGACCCCCTGCCCTTCGGTGATCATCCCCACGTGGTAGATGAGCCGAGGAACGCCTTAGTCATCCCAATGGAGACTAGAATGTGGGTGATAGCTCAGCCTAGCTACCATGTGCGTACACAAGCCCTCGTGATGAAAACTCGTTGGATCCCGCAGGATCCTGGACGGGCCCACGGAAGAGGCGCACTGGGCCTGACCCCTTGGCGTGGTATGCTACGTATGCCATGGTCCTAAACATGCGTCTAGGATATACATGATGGTACGAATGCATTGGTTGGAGAGTGAAGTTATATTCAACACGTGCAAATATATTTGATTCCATATGTAAACAGCTTGTTCAACACGGCGGCCATGGGTTCAGAACTGGCTGATAATCGACTAACCACATCTGATAATCGATTATCATGTTACGCAGTTCCTGTTCCCAAGTTCCGCAAGCCATGATAATCGATTGTCACCTCATGACAATCGATTGTCAAAGTATTTGTTCAGGACACCCAAGTTCAGAGGGGCCTGATAATCGATTATAGCTATGTGATAATCGATTATCAAAAGAACCAGCCCAGACTTGAGATTCCGCAGGACCCAATAATCGATTATCAGCAAGGTGATAATCGATTATCACGTCTTGCTGAAAAACTGAGGAGTTCAGCGCGACCTAATAATCGATTGTCAGATTCTGTAAATCGATTATTAAGGCACGTTGGTTCCTATTTTTGCCTGTTGGATTTTCATTAAGACGTCGAGAGTTTTAGAAATGAACGTTTATGTTTCCAGCTTAAGTATTGATGAGTTTGCAACGTTTTGTAACGTTTATACTAACAAGTGCGTAAACGAAAGGCCTAATAAACGAAAAGTCATGACGATGTGGATGTACGTAGGTTTAGCCGGTAATCCTATGAATATAACGATATGATTAAACTACGAATTCTAAAGTCAGAGGGCAACGTACACACACCTCTAAACGCAGAGATTTACGATAACGGTAACGGTTGAACGAACGGCTAACGAACGGACAACGAACGTTGGCAACGAACGGATGAACGAACGAACAGCTTCTTGCGTGAACTTCTCCTCTTCAACCTTCCCGTCAATTCACACAAATCACCTCCTTGAGCTACTATGGTCTGGCCGAAAATGCAAGGGGAGAGGAGAGTGAGAGTGATGGTTGGGGGTTACAAAGTAGGTGAGGGAAATGAAGGGTGGAAGGGTTTATATTAAAAGGGTTTTAAATGGTGAAATAATGATAAATTAATTAGGGAGTTTAATGATGGGGGAAATGGAGTGGCGTGTGGAAGGAAAATGGGAGTTATCTCCCTACATTTTACTCCGTTGTGTGAAATCTGACCTGATCGGTACGCGCTTTCTTCCCCGAACGGGTCCGAATCAAGATTCGTTGGCGTTTCTGGAATCAGACAGTCAAAACGAATATTATGACATAATCAAATAACTTTTCTAAGGATTTTATTTTCCAAACCCCGGTCCAAGTTAGTAATTAATTAATTAGATTAATCAATTCTAATAGACCGGGTCGCAGGGCGTTACAGTTATCCACCCCTTAAGAAAATTTCGTCCTCGAAATTTACCTGATCACTGGTCACTGAAAAGATGGGGATAACGAGTGTGCATGGATTCCTCGGTTTCCCATGTCGCCTCCTCGACGGTGTGACTTCTACACAAAACCTTAACCAAAGGAATGGTTTTGTTCCTCAACCGACGGGTCTCCCGAGCCAGAATCTCAACTAGCTCCTCCTCATATGTAAGATTCTCATCGAGAGTGACCGTATCGGCTGGAATTACATGTGAAGGGTCTGACCGGTACCTTCGGAGCATAGACACGTGGAATACATTGTGAATCTTGCTCAACTCAGCTGGTAACTCAAGCCTGTAGGCTACAGGTCCCACCCGTTCAGTGATTGGGTATGGGCCTATAAACCTCGGACTAAGTTTTCCCTTTTTGCCAAAACGTAAAACATTCTTCCAAGGAGATACCTTCAAGAAAACCTTATCTCCCACCGCATACTCGATATCGCGTCTCTTAAGGTCGGCATAGGACTTCTGTCGGTCCGATGCCACCTTAAGCCGGTCCTTAATTACCTGGACCTTCTCTTCGGTTTCACGAACTAGATCTGGTCCTTCCAACTTCCTCTCGCTGAGCTCCGTCCAGCAAGTAGGATTCCGGCACGACCTACCGTACAAAGCCTCGTACGGTGCCATACTGATGCTAGCCTGGTAGCTGTTGTTGTATGCGAACTCCATCAACGGTAGATATCGCTCCCAACAATCCCCGAAGTCAATAGCGCAGGCGCGCATCATATCCTCGAGGATCTAGATAACCCTCTCGGACTGACCGTCCGTCTGTGGGTGGAAAGCCGTACTGAAGTGAAGATCAGAGCCCAAGGCTTTCTGTAGGCTCTTCCAGAACTGTGACGTGAAATGCGGGTCACGGTCCGAAATGATAGATGAGGGAACTCCATGTAACCGGATGATCTCGCAGATGTATAGCTCCGCCAGACGCTGTAAAGAGAAATCTCGTCGTATCGGAAGGAAATGGGCGGACTTAGTCAAACAGTCCACAATGACCCAAACTGTATCGTTCTTGCGAGGGGACAAAGGTAGCCCCACTACGAAGTCCATAGTGATACGATCCCACTTCCACTCGGGAATCGTAATCCGCTGAAGTAGTCCGCTCGGTACCTGGTGCTCAGCCTTAACCTGCTGGCATGTCAAGCATCGTGCTATAAACTCTGTGATCTCTCTCTTCATCGCAGGCCACTAGTAATGCTTCCGGAGATCCTGGAACATCTTGTTACTACCGGGGTGCATGGTATATACCGTACCATGTGCTTCACGAAGGAGACGTTCCCTTACCTCCCCCACTGGCACTACCACACGTGCCCGATACAACAAGACACCATCCTCACGGACAGAGAAGTCGGGTTTCTCGCCCCAAGAGGCGAGCTCACAGGTCTGTCTGCAGAAATCGTCGATGCTCTGTGCCGTCACAATCTCATGCAACAATGTAGGCTGAACTCGGAGTACGGCTAGAGTTTTGCGACTAAGAGCATCAGGCACCACATTCGCCTTACCATGGTGATAAGCGATATGACAGTCGTAGTCCTTAATCAACTCCAACCATCTCTGCTGTAGTAGATTCAAATCCTTCTGACTCAAGAGATACTGCAGACTTTTATGATCGGTGAAGATACGCGTCATCTCCAAATCATCAGAGCGAGAACGATCGCCGCCAACTCTAGATGGTGTGTTGGGTAGTTGCACTCATGCGGCTTCAACTGCCGAGACGCATAAGCTACAACCTTACCCTCCTGCATAAGAACACCCCCTAGGCCATTGTGTGAAGCGTCGTTGTATACCGTATACTCCACTCCTGGGGTCGGCTGAACCAATACAGGTGCTTGGGTCAAACACTCCTTCAGTTCCTCGAAGCTCTGCTGACAAGCCTCGGTCCAGTCAAACTTCACGTCCTTCTTCATTAACTTGTGCAAAGGTGAAGCTATCCTTGAGAAGTCTTTCAACCCGAGGAAACTCCTCACCTCTCGAGCATTGCGTGGAATCTTCCACTCCGTGATCGCCGAGATCTTACACGGGTCCACCTTCACTACTTCAGCCAAGATGACGTGGCCGAGGAAGGTGACCTCGTGCAACCAAAACTCACATTTGGACAGCTTGGCATAAAGTTTCTGCTCTCGTAGGATGCCGAGTACCGTGCACAGGTGCTCCGCGTGCTCCTCACGCGTCTTGGAGTACACCAGGATATCATCGATGAAAATGACCATGAACTGATCAAGGTACTTACGAAACACGCTGTTCATCAGATCCATGAATACCGCCGGTGCATTGGTCAACCCAAAAGGCATCACCGTGAACTCGTAGTGACCATAACGTGTGCAGAACGCTGTCTTAGGAATATCCTCCTTCTTGACTGGGATCTGATGGTACCCTGATCGCAGATCAATCTTAGAGAAGACTGTGGCTCCTCTCAACTGGTCGAACAAGTCATCAATGCGAGGAAGAGGATAACGATTCTTGATGGTGAGTTTGTTCAGCTGGTGGTAATCGATGCACAGTCTCATCGAACTGTCCTTCTTGCGGACGAACAGGACTGGTGCGCCCCAAGGGGACACACTAGGACGTACGAAACCCTTATCCAAGAGCTCCTGCAGTTGAGCTTTCAGCTCCTTCATCTCTGCCAGGGCCATGCGATAAGGTGTGATGGAGATGGGTCCCGTTCCCGGAACCAAGTCGATAGAGAATTCTACCTCCCTCGGGGGTGGTAGTTCTGGCAGCTCGTCTGGAAATACGTCTGAGAACTCGCACACCATAGGGATTTCCTCCCGTCCGGGTGCCTCTAGCTGCGTGTCGCGGACAGTGCATAGAAAGGCCTCGCATTTCTTGCGTATGAGGCGACGAGCTTGCATATATGAGATAAATTTGGGAGCCTTCGGGAAAAGCTCGCCACGGATCAGAACGTCATTACCATCTTCGGCTTTTAGCCGTACCGTATGTGCGCCACAATCAACAACAGCTTGATTGGCTGTGAGCCAATCCATGCCTAGGATAACATCGAATTCTTGATGTGGGAGCTCTATCAGATTTTCAGGGAAGCTCTTCCCTTGCACAACTAGCGGACAGTCAGGATAGATATATTTGAGACATAGACTATGTCCCAACGGATTGGACACAATCACCGGATTCTCCAGGTTCTCTCTCGGAATATTAGACGATACAGGCATAGATGTACACAGATATGACAATGTGGAACCTGGGTCAATCAAAGCAGATACGGATGTATCGAATAAGGTGAACATACCCATAATCACATCATGAGCGGGCTGCTCAGTGCATCCATGCATCGCATAAGTACGAGCTGGAGCCTTCCCGAACTGAGCGCTCTGTGCCAGCCTTTTCGGTTGACTGGACGCCGCTACCGACTTCTGACTCGGTGCGGGCTGGGCTGCTGGAGCTGAGGCTGCGGCTGCGGGCGCTGTCGGGAATGCCTCACCAGGGTTCGTCGGGCAGTTCCTGCGGTAATGCCCGGCCTGTCCACACCCAAGGCATAGGCCGTGAGTGAACCAGCACTCGCCGGAGTGCCTCCGGCCGCAGAGGTTGTAGATCGGGTTCCGATATCTGCTCTGACTCTGGCTCTTCCCACTCTTCTGAGTGGGTGCTGACGACGCGGCTGGTGCGGACCTAACCTTCTCGCTCGAGTGCGAGCTGCTCGGTATGGGAGGAGGCCTCTTGCTGCTCGAGCCGGATCTGGGTGGCGGTGGCGGTCGAGGATGCGTCGTCTGGGACTGCTCATACTCGGCCTTCTTGAGTAAGTCCGTCTGTAACTCCAACGCCTGCTTGTACAAGTCGTTGATGTCATTCCTCGGTGCGGAGACCAACCCGGAGGACAAGTCAGGGCGTAACCCCTCCCTGAAGCGCTTGCACCTCTTCTCCATTGTCGGCACCAAGTCCCGACCAAACTCGGCCAGCTCATCGATCTTCTGGCGATACTCTGGCAGCGTAAGTTCACCCTGCGTGAACTTCATGAACTCGTCATGCTTCCCCTCCATGAAGTGCTCGGGCACATACTCCTCACAGAAGAGCTCGCCAAAGGTCGCCCACGGCACCGGCTCCGGGATGTTCGCTCCTGCGCGATTCCACCAGTCGTAGGCGGCATCCTGAAGCAAGGCGATAGCTAGGTCGCCTCTCTGCTTTGCTGGAACCCGTAAGGTCCCAAGTACTCGACTCACACGCTCGAGCCAGCGCTTCGCGACCATGGGTTCCGCGATCCGGTCGCCACGGAACTCCTCGGCTCCGTTCTTCTTCAGCTTCTCAATCGTGACCACAACCACAAGAGGCGGCGGTGGCAGTGGTGGTACATACGCCCCGGCTATCTGCTGGAGGAACTGGAGCATGTTGGCCGCCATCTGCGGCTGCAGATAAGGAACCGCTTGTGGTACGGCATTCGGTTGGGGAACCTGCGGCTCCGGAACTTCGTGCTGCGGTGTGAAGCTAGACGCCTCGGTGTGCACACTCATGTGCTCCTATTCTCCCTGAGGACCAACTTGTCCATGCTCGGGAGCTGGACTCATCTCCTTTCTGGAAGGAGATTTCCTATCAGGTTAAGTAATAATAATAATAATAACTCAGATGATACGGTTACCTTTCCCGGTGGAGATACGAAGCGGGATGCGACTGTGGGTTCTAGAGAAAATGTTTTTTTTCAAAATGGGTTTCAAAAGTTTTTTTTAGAACCGTAATTGCTCTGATACCAAAATGTAACACCCTCCGTCCCGCGAACCCGGTTCACCACGGTCCAACGTGCCGGAGAGGTTACGTAGACGGTTTAAGGCCGTCTACAAGGAAAAACCCCTTGCATTACTTGTAACGGAAACCCTTGTCCTGCTTTATTAAATGATGAGGATGGATTCACTTAAGAGAAGTTTATAGCGGAAGTAAATGTAAATAAAACTGTTAGGTCATAAATAACGTAAATGCAACAAAAGGTGGGTTCATGCCCAAAACGTTTTCATAAATTAAATAGGTAATTCATCTGGCCCGCACTGTCGTTCATCCACAGCTCCTATCACCCAGTCATCCGGGTCAGGCTCCATGATCCTCTGGCCTACCTTCGTATAGCAAAGGAAAACAACGCTATACGCTCAGCAAAAGCTGAGTGGTAATCTAACAGTAGAACGGATAGTACATTCACATTGTTTTAAACATAATCGTACCTGCACTAAAGTACGAGATACCACGTACGAGCTTAACGAATAAGAGTTACAAATAACAATGGTGTCATGCCAAATAAACGTGATGCATGAGTTAGACTGCGCAGGGACCCCCTGCCCTTCGGTGATCATCCCCACGTGGTAGATGAGCCGAGGAACGCCTTAGTCATCCCAATGGAGACTAGAATGTGGGTGATAGCTCAGCCTAGCTACCATGTGCGTACACAAGCCCTCGTGATAAAAACTCGTTGGATCCCGCAGGTTCCTGGACGGGCCCACGGAAGAGGCGCACTGGGCTTGACCCCTTGCCGTGGTATGCTACGTATTCTATGGTCCTAAACACGCGTCTAGGATATACATGATGGTATGAATGCATGGGTTGGAGAGTGAAAATATATTCAACACATGCAAATATATTTGATTCCATATGTAAACAGCTTGTTCAACACGGCGGCCATGGGTTCAGAACTGGCTGATAATCGACTAACCACATCTGATAATCGATTATCATGTTACGCAGTTCCTGTTCCCAAGTTCCGCAAGCCATGATAATCGATTGTCACCTCATGACAATCGATTGTCAAAGTATTTGTTCAGGACACCCAAGTTCAGAGGGGCCTGATAATCGATTATAGCTATGTGATAATCGATTATCAAAAGAACCAGCCCAGACTTGAGATTCCGCAGGACCCAATAATCGATTATCAGCAAGGTGATAATCGATTATCACGTCTTGCTGAAAAACTGAGGAGTTCAGCGCGACCTAATAATCGATTGTCAGATTCTGTAAATTGATTATTAAGGCACGCTGGTTCCTATTTTTGCCTGTTGGATTTTCATTAAGACGTCGAGAGTTTTAGAAATGAACGTTTATGTTTCCAGCTTAAGTATTGATGAGTTTGCAACGTTTTGTAACGTTTATACTAAGAAGTGCGGAAACGAAAGTCCAAATAAACGAAAAGTCATGACGATGTGGATGCACGTAGGTTTAGCCGGTAATCCTATGAATATAACGATATGATTATACTACGTGTAACGCCCCAAAACATACCCTAGAATTATTAATGAATAAATAATCAATTAATCACAATTGTTTTGATTAAAATAAATTATTGTTGGGCTTTGGGCCGATATGAAATTTGTTTTGACATCTAATATCAAAATCTGGATAAGTCTCATAGATAAATCCAATATGTGGACTATTTGTGTGGTCTTGATTGGGAACCTGAGTACAGACCCAAATCAAGAGTAAATAAAGAATTTGTTTAGGATGTAAATATTGAAATGATTTGTTGAAATAAATCACGAGAATAATTGATGTGAATTAAATGAGAGAACCTTTTATGAGAAAGGTCAATTAAACCAATTTTGACTCTGTTAAAGTCAAACACCCAAAAATGTGGTGTCAGAAAAAGTATAACGAATGAATATAAAAATTATATCGTTGGATAGAGTTCGACTGTCTGATCGCAACGGTGCAAACGGATTTTAATTTGGAGAAAGTTGGACCAAAAAGTGTATCCCGACTGGAACCAAAATTGGTCCCAATCAGGACACTGTGCGAACGGCGCCTCCCAGCGCACTAAGCCTAGCGCGAATCGTCAATGACTCAGCAACTGCGTCTCCTTCTCCTTCCCTTCCCTATATAAGAGTATCATCAACATTCTCATTCTTCACCAAAACTTACAATTTTAGTACCATTGTGTTCATAAGAGTGAGGAGAGCAGTCTGATATTGTTGGTTGCCACCGAAGTCGCCGGAGTTGGGAGTTATCGTCGCCGGAAGTTTCGCCGGAAAATTCTCAAAACCTTCGATAAGCTTGGAGGTAAGCCCGTAGATATATCTAGTGACTAGAATGTTCNGTTTCTACGTTCATAAACGGTCGTTTGGTTGAGTTTTGTGTTTGACATGTTTGAAGAACCAAGAATCATAAACAATTAAATTGTTGTTAAAATTACGAATTAATGACTCTAAAATGATCTGTGAACATTGGAGAACATTTTTATATAATTAAATTGAAGTTTGGTGATTAAAAATGATAATGTTAAAACTGACCCGAGGAAGAAGATGATGAACAGTGGCCGAAAATTGATTATTTACTTACTAAAAATCGATTAGAATTTTATTCAGATCAGTGGTTCAAAGTCAGTACCATTTAATGGATTATTTAAATTGTAAAAATCGATTTTTTATGAATTAATCGATTATTTATATTGTAAAAATCGATTAAAATTAATTAATTGATTATTTAAATTGTAAAAATTGATTATTATGAATTAATTGATTATTTAAATTGTAAAAATCGATTATTATGAATTAATGGATTATTTAAATTGTAAAAATAGATTTTTTATGAATTAATCGATTATTTATATTGTAAAAATCGATTAAAGTTAATTAATTGATTATTTAAATTGTAAAAATCGATTATAATGAATTAATTGATTATTTAAATTGTAAAAATAGATTATTATGAATTGATGGATTATTTAAAATTATATAAATCAATTTTTATAAATTAAATGATTATTTTAAATTATTTTCCTCAATTCCAGATCCTGCTACGAAAATATTCCTGAAAATATGCTCTAAAATCCTATTTTTGATAACAATTAATTATGAACAATACAAATATGATTTTGTATAATAAAAATGATGTTTTAGGGATATAAAACATTATGTGATGCATGACGGTAAGTTAGAGTGTTAACACTCAAAACTAGACCGCTATTTGTTATCAATTGTTATGTTGATTAATGATTATGATGAATGATAATTATGGATGATCATGAATAATGAACTAACTGATCAAAATGATTATTGATGATTCAGCCATGAGAGTAATGAATATATTGATAATTATTAAACGATTTGTATTGTTAAACGGTATCTAGAAGAATTCTAAGATATACCTATTAGTTAATTGATGTTAAGGCTATCTAGAAGACCTCTAGAATAGATCTTGTATTAGAACAGGCTTATGAAAACATGAACATTTGATGAATTAGGTAAAAATGCATAAATGGGATTCATAGACCAAACTATAGGATCACTCGTTTGGGAATGGCCGATCTAATGTTGATCAATCGCTATATTGTTGTTGCCTTAACTGACTACAGTTAAGTGTCCGAATCATTTGCCTTAAACTAGTGATAGTTTAAGTGTCTGATTGCCTTAACTGACTGCAGTTAAGTGTCCGAAATCAATTGCCTTAAACTAATGATAGTTTAAGTGTCTCATTAATGATTGCCTTTTAAGAATCTGGTTATAGAAATTATGATCTAGCCTTAGACTAAGAATAGCTAAAAGCATTATTATGATATGGCCTTAGACTAAGAATAGCTAAGAGCATTGTTATAATCTGGCCTTAGATTAAGAATAATTTAAGAGCACTATTGAAATAGTATCTGAATTGAAAAAAATGTATTCATATGAACTGAACAATACCAAAACTTTGAATGTCTGAAATGAACATTGTGTGCATGATATCAAATGATTTGATTATGAATTTAGATTCAGTTTATATGGATGTTCGACGTATTAGATATGCATACTCAGCTTTACCGCTGAGCGTGTAGTGTGTTTTATTTGCTACACGCAGGTAAACCGAAAGAACAATGTGATCCTGGCGGTAGATGGTGCGAGATTGTCGGGATGGATGTGACAAGTTTGAAATGATTTATAATATGTCAATATTAAATTCGCTTCCGCAATAATGTTGAATACTCCGTATTGTATATGTATTGAAAAATATTATTGGGATTAATAAAGTGTGTTTGAAAAGTTTTAAATTTTTACGATTACCAAGTTAAATACTTTAGTCCGAATGGGGCTGCAGACCTGGACGGATTAGGGTGTTAAAACCATTTGATCTGATACCAAACTGTAACACCCTAATCTGTCCAGGTCTGCAGCCCCTTTCAGACTATAGTATTTAACTTGGTAATCGTAAATATTTAAAACTTTTCAAACAACTTTATTAATCCCAATAATATTTTTCATAACATATACAGTACAGAGTATTCAACAATATTGCGGAAGCGAATTTAATATTGACATATCATAATTCATTTCAAAACTTGTCACATCCATCCCGACAATCTCGCCCCATCTGCCGCCAGGATCAGATTCTTCTTTCTCTTTACTTGCGTGTAGCAAATAAAACACACTACACGCTCAGCAGTAAAGCTGAGTAAGCATATCTAATGCGTCGAACATCCACGTAAACTGAATCTAAATTCATAATCAATTCATTTGATATCATGCACACAATGTTCATTTCAGACATTCACAGTTTTGGTATTGTTCAGTTCATATCAACACATTTTATTCAATTCAGATACTATTTCAATAGTGCTCTTAAATTATTCTTAATCTAAGGC